GAAGATTCCTCATTCTCTGCCATAGGACATTTGGGTGGCAGCCATTGGAGGCATCAGCCTACACAGAACAAGGAGACCACTGGGACAAGCAGCTTGATCTCAAATGTACAAGTGACTGAAAGACACCTCTGGATAACCAACTCTGTTCACTTTGCTGCCTTGGACATCCACTGCTTCACCTTCTAACCCCCAGGATCACCAAGACTGCTGATCTTTGAAGAGCTCCAAGTCAGCACGGATTGTCACAGGTCCTGCTGCTTGTCCCAGCAAAAGCTGGGGGCACTTTTCCCCCCTCTCTTCTTACCTGGGAGGAGGGAAAGTGGGTGGGAAACACCAAATACCAGGACAAATGAGGAAGAGCAGACCAGGCCTCTTGAGTACAAATATACACCCTAAAGAGAAAGGGGGGAAAAAAAAAAAAAAAAAAAATCTGACTGCCTTCTCATACTCAGGTTTGTCCTATCATCTGCACTGCTGTCCTTAAAAACTATCTAGAACCTCACACCAGCCAAAACTGTCTCCACTTTCACCAAGCAATCCCAAATTTTATGAAAAGAATGTGAAGATGATTCACTATTGCTAAAGATACTGTTTAGGGCATTGACTCACAGTAGGTGGGAATGCCAACACACACACTGTGTTACCTCAAATCAAGTAGCACAGCTCAGAACGAGACAAATTCACTGTACACTGTTAAGTCTATCACTGTATCACATACAACACCCAGGCCCTATTTACATGTTCTCATCTTTCTTTCACCATGTGACTGCACGATATCTTCCCAATACTACCTGCATTATGTTTTATTGTAATTTTCCAGCCAGCATGCTCTGTTTGACAGCATTCAAGTTTCCACTAGGAAAATAATTCACTTGAGTACTAGAATGGAGGCCCCTCAGCTCATACTCAACGTTGACAGCAGAGAGAGTGAATTAACAGCCTGCTGGTGATGCAGACTGACAAAAATGAAGCTCCTCTACCCAGCGCTTCCTCTGCAAGAGGAGTTAATGCTGCGGGAATTTCTGAGAAGAGAAAGTGTAGTTGCAATATCACAGTCTGTAAATATTAACACCAAAACTGTGAGTTCATTCCGTATGCTCAGAGTATATGCGTTTTCTTTCAAAGTCTACTCTTGCTTCAGAGAGCTCAGGCAGAGGATGGCCAAGCATCATGCTCTTATGCCTGATATCAGTCTAGGAATGCATTTTGAAAATCTGAGAGACCATTAAGCTCTAATTTTTATTAGGTTGTCCTCTCTACCCCTCCTTTGAGCTACTTAGTCAATATTTATTATACAGTTTTCCTTACTTTTTTATCATTTTGATAGATTGCCTTTTTTTATAATTTTAGAAATTAGAGAGTTCTCATTTCTGAGATCAATTTACCTTCCCCCCACCCCCTTAATACAGAGTTCTCATTTGCTTAAATTGTAAAACTCACATTATAAAACTAGGTTTCTGGAACAGGGTTGTAGCCTTTCTCAACATGATTTAAATATTATTCATTCACTACATAGGAAATAAACATTTTATCATAGTGATCTATGCAGGAATGAACTTGTATTTGCTGGTATATTTCTCTTTTTTTTTTTTTAATAATTGGTAAGAACCAACAACTGAATGCAGCAGACTGCATAGGCATAGCAGAAAACTCATACAAATTATGGTTAAAGATTATTATCCACTTTAAATAATAATTCAGGATGTTCTTCTCTGCCACTGCAAAAAGCCAGGTCACACTCATCATGAGACTTAACAGGCTTTTCAGCAGTTGTCAAAGCTACTCCATCTGAGACATCATTTTTAGCCAGAGGCATTCAACTGTTCCTCGATGTTATCTAAATATACATGACTGGAGGGCTTTCTATAAGACTGTCTGAAGTAATTTGTTTTGTAACTGCCTCCCTTTAACATATACCCTCACCATTTTTAACACACATACAAGAACACTGGAAGTTATACCAGAGCACGCTCTCATTTACAGTTAATGCTATAAAAGTAAAGATTTTTCATATTACAGTATTAGCTCAACTAATATGCTATTTCCAGAAACTTCTGTGCAATTTTTAGTTCTAATGAAGTCCCGATTATCAAGAACCATCTAACCAAAAGATTCTCTCTCTAGCTTAACAGACTTACGTGACCATGCTATTCCATAATTTTATTTCACAACAAATTTTGAAAGGCAGTATTTGAACTAAGTACATTGACAACCCCCCCACAAAAAAAAAACCCAAAAAAAAACCCAAAAAAACAAACAAAAAAACCCCACAAAAAACCACCCACCAACACCTGACCAACAGTAGGATATTTTTTCCTAGTAGCTTAATTTTCTTTAAGCAGGAGTTACAATGTGGATGTCCTTCTACAGTTTTCTCTCTCACCGTTCATGAGAGTTTTCAATATAGATTATTTTTCTTCAAAGCAGTTCTGCAGTCTGGGTTGTCTTTCCAATTCTTTTGCTCTGAAGCACTTTTGGAACAAGTTTCCAAAGATTTCTGAGAGACTAATCTTCAATCACGCTTCAATTACTTAGAACTGTAACATCTCTGCTGTATGTTCTTCAGACATATAGTTACATAAACTAGCTAAATCTTTTGCTGAAACATTTAATCTATTCCACAGCATTTAAAATCAAAAGCTAAGCATTTCTGGAAATACATAGGCTCTTGGATTATGAATCCAAGAGACAACTGCTCATTTACTTCTGTTAACTGTATATTTGCTGACATCCAAGATTTAGCAGTTTCAAGAAGGAATTAAAGAATACGTTCTGCCCAAATGGCTCATGAGAAACAATTTTTGAGGACAATTTGTAACAGCAGTATGTGATGATTTTCATATGTACAAGAATCAAAGCGTATCAGATCACAAACACTGAAACAGAGGCTAAATTTCATTCTGTAGGTGGCTATTAACGCAGTGGAGCTCAGAAGTTTGTTTAGAACCACTAGAATATCATGCACTAGCACACAAATACTGTAGACCTCATCCTTTTACGCTCACATGCCTCAGGTAACAATTCTGGATTATGTTTGTGACTTAATGTAGTTGGATTACAGCCAGCTCCATTTGTTATTTAGTTCAAATCCAAACCCAATCTGTTTTAGCAGAAAGCAACTTCTTCACAGTCAAATCTTTCTGCCTTGCAGAAGTCATAGACCGACACAGACTGTATGTTATGAGGTTATTCCTGCATTGCAGAAGTCGGGCTCAAGCACCCTCAAAGTTAACTTCGGTTAGACATACTGAACTAACAATTGCTTCTCGTAAAATCTGGTCTAGTAAATTTTCAGACTTGCAATTCATCTAATAGCTAATGAAGAGTTAAGTAGCTTTTAAAACCAATAGTTACAGATTATATCATTAGGTTTATATATGTTACAAAATTGAAGGTATCTAACACATCAGACCAACATAGGAAAATTCATAAAGCTAACTCAACTCTTCACTGAGTTAGATACAAATTCTTTTACTGATGTAACAAGAGTCTAGTATATAGCTTCATTCATAAATTCCAATGTAAATATTTTCTAACCAATATTATGAAAGTGCTATCTATTAAGGTTGCTCCTTTCCAAGTGGAAGTGACTTAGGACACTGATTTTTTGGATTGATGAAACAATAATTGAGAAACATGCTCTTTCATATACTCATGCACACAATTCTGTGTGAAACTAATTTTATTAATGGTCACCTTACTATGCAGGATTGAACAAATACCCCATAGTAGCAGCAAAGATGTATACAACCAAATCCTTATGGCAACTGTTCTATAGTTTTTCAAAGAGAAAATCAGAATTGAATAGTATTAGGTACATCCCCAGACTGGTGAAAGTGTCATCCTCAAAAGATACCACAAAACTCTGAACCTAAATCACCAAATCTAAAAACTCGTGTCAGAAAAATAATTCATTTTGGAGGATACTAAAAACAGACTATAGTTTTTCAGGAATGTTTCGTAGTAAAAAAAAAAAAAATAAAAATAAAAAAATATATATATATTTTTTCCTTTAGAGGTTTTTTTTTTAAATAGCAGCAACATCACAGATATTGTTCTGTAGCATTGCATGAAAAGCTCAGTTCAGCAAAGATACAAGATCTTTGACACCTGAATAGTTACATACATCCATTTTTCATGTTCTTCAGTACATTTTTTCTCTTCACAATCAGAAATTGCACAAAAATATCAGAAATAACAATAATTGCAAAAATGCAATACATTATGTCTTCTTGTTATGAATTAAAGGCCCCATAGAACGTTTATGGAGCAGGATGGGAAAGCCCCAAGTTGTCAAAGTTTCTTTTTTAGGTCACTCACCTTAGGTAACTCCCATTCTGACCGGGAACCGTCAGCACTGTAGTAGTATGGTCTACCTTGTTCATCTGCATGCTTTATCCACTGTAGAAAGAAATGTGATTATAGGAAATGCGATCAGAGTGACAGTCATAACGTAGCAAATCTGTGATACTTGGGATTTAAAGTCAATTTTTAATAAAGTGCCATACACTTCAGCAGTGTCTAGTGCACAACTTCCAGTAACTAACCAAAGTTAGTTAGCAATGACAGGAACGCAGTTTTAATCTTCCTGGATTGGGATCCCTAACGTTTCTTCCTTCTAAAACTCCTCAGAAAAAGAGTCCTGCAATATCACACAAGAGACTGTGATAAACAGATACTCTTGAAAATGGCACATCTCACTCTCATCAACATTACAGTGTCAGTTTAAGGAGGCACAATCTTTGCACTGGATCTATGTAAGGATTTCATACTTAAAAATACAGAATTACAAGAAGCTCAACCAGCAACTGCTGATAATTTAGGAGATAATTGCACTTCCTAAACAACTCCATTTTTGAAACATCAACAGGAACATGAGAAGCAGTTCCTAAATAAGTCTCAAAGAAGAAAATATAATTTCTGTAACTTCTATACCCAGCTCCCGCAACCAAAGAGGTAAAACTGTGACAAGCCGTGGCTAGTTATGCAGAAAGGAAAGAACTGTAATGAACAAAATTCTACAAAAAGATCCCACAAAAATATGCACAGAAACACTCATAGCAAGGCTCTTGGGTCAAGCAGTTTTCACAAGACTGACTTCCAACAAACTGTTTCTGACAGGAACCATCATTATCTATCAATCCCAATGCAATTAAAAAAAAAAAAATCGTATTTGCCAAAACAGAGGTATGTGCTCTATAGGTGTTTAGCAGAAATACATTAAGCAGGATAAAATTCCAAAACTGGCATAAAATTCAATTGTTTAAAATCTTATTTAAGAAAAAAAAAAAAAAACAAACAAAAAACAAACAAACAAAAAAAACCAAACCACTTGCATATATCAACTGGAGAAGAGGTGGTGTTATGGTATAAAAACTACTGTTGCAATGAACACTTTCTGAAGTTAAACAGACCAAAACGCACCTTTAGTCAACAGTTAGAAAAATTAACTACTTTACAACTATAAACAAATATTGTCATTTATCCTACATGGGAGATATTTTATGATGTGCCTAGAATCACAGTAAGTTGTCAGTAGCAATTAGGTAATTGGAATAGAACATAAATCTGCTGATACAGTTGTGGTTTAATTAAGAAGTTTATGTACAGCTGAAAGCAATACTGAAAACAAAGTAAAGGATGAAACTGACAAAGCAGCATTATTTCAGTTTGAAACCATCCAATCTGGAAGGCCTATGTAGACAAGAACAGCTCTCAAAAGACATTACAGAAAACATTACATTTGTATGAAGTGTAACCAAGAGGATGGGGGAGGGCAGAAATTGAAGAAATTATACATTATATGTTCATTTAATATAAACTGATACCCAACTAGGAATAAGAAAATATTTTTCTGAATAGTAAAGAACATATATAAGAAAATAAAAAGTCAGTTCAGTTGCTAAAGTTCCATGCATATTAAAAAATAAAAGGAGATACTGCTGAGGAATGCTTTTCACTTCTAGAAATGAAATCTGCATTTCTAACAGTGAAATAGTGGAAAAGATTTAGAACATGATGAGAAGAAGGAAAAAGTACCTTTTCATTAGTATAGTCATTGGTATATAAGGTTTGACCATGTTCATCCAACTCTTCTGACCAACCCTTTGGAGGAGAACCATACTGACTATCTGACTGGCTGTAACAAGAACTGTGGTCGTTTTCTTCTGATGAAAGATGCTACAAGTAGTCAGAAACATACAAGGCAGTTTTGAGAATGAAAGCGTTTTAAAATCTGAAAGATCAAAGATTATTTTACTAGAAAGAGAATAGTAATAAATTGAAGGGAGTTCACATTTTCATATCTTATATCAGAGAATAAGAGATGCATTTTTACAGTACAGAAATATTTGATAACTGCTAGGCAGTTTAAAATATTTTCAGAACAACTGGTTTGTATTGGCACAATTTTTTAATTCTACTGTACCAGATTTCAGCTACTCAAATTTAAACTCCGTGGGTTTTTTGCTGATCTAAATTTTATTCCCACAGATTCACATTACTGAATGATGAAGAGAGTTAGCTTTAGTAATCTGCATAGCTCCCAAAAGCTTGGGAGACCTTCTACCTTGGTTTTCTGGCAATATCCCAGATTTCATAACTAAATCCTTTTCTTCCCCCTCCCAAATAGTATCTGAAAAAACAATAATCATTGAAGACATCTTGAATCTCCACCTGCACCTTTGTAGGTCCCAGGACTTTACAAAACTTGTGCAATGCATCCTCAAATATTAGGAATTTCCACTCTCCTCCTTCCAACTCTGATGTACATGACAATAAGCAATTCCAAAGCCAGGTTTTCTGTCAACTACAGGCACAGCTGGTTTAGGTGTAAGATTATTTTCTGAAGGTGGAAGTGAATTATAACATAAGGAACAAGTTTGACATGAAAAGAAGAAAGATTTCAACATTTCTGTTCCCTAATACACCTCGTTCATCTCCTTGCTAACATACAGTAGTTATTCAAGGCATCCATTCTGTGCATCAAAAAAAATTGAAAACCTCTCCCTGCATTCATCTCCTACAACATCTCTACACCAGTCTCCTGGGGAATTCAGTGCAGATTTCCTTTCACATTACCTTGGATCCTCGGCTAGTAGGAAGCATAACACTTAAAAGGGAACACATCCTGCTATTCAAAAATATTGACTAAGGTTCAGTAACACAAAATATAAGGGTTTTGAGGAAAGCCATAAAGCAGGAGAATGGCATAATTTCAATTTTAAAATAGGAAAAAAACCTCTGCTGTAAAGCTTAAATCTTACCAAAATATCCAGGTATCAAAGACTCACCAGTTTTTACAAGTCAGCGGTTTTGGAGACTATGTGTTTAGTGACATTTCCAAATGATTATTGCCTAGATTTTTTGTGTTACCTTTCCAAGCACCTTACCACTTGTGCAACACACACTCCCTATGCTGACATAAACCAGCTTACCAAGCACAGCAAAACCCATGGGAAATTTTTGGGTCATTAATAAAGTAACATGAAAAATGTAAGCGTACTTCACAGCCTACACAATGCAGGCATCGAAACTATGGATTAAACAACCCTACCCCTCTTGCACATGGGCTAACACAAAAATCTGAAACATCAATTTCTAACCACTAGGAGGAAAAGAAAATTAAAAAATAAAGTAGTCTTCCGTCCCATTTTTAGACTTGAAAAATTAAGACTGAGGAGTTAAGAATGCTTTTGGCCCCATTTGATCTACTGTTTTATAAGATAGCTACACTGTATACACATATTTTAAGCTTACATTGTGTTTTAATGGTTAAATATTAAATGCATTGACATTTGTTCAAAGTAGTAGACTTTGGACTTTTTTATTATTACTATTAACAGAAATTATGACCAAATAACATAATGCATTTGTATTTGTCTCTTCCAAGCAACTCCTGATACTGAGGAAGCACTGTACACACGTAAAGCTGAACAGAAGACTTAAAAATGAAAATTCTCATAGAAAAACTACTGTTGTTCAGTCAGAATGACTGTTAATATGTCTGTTTGTAAGGCACTCAATCATAGTCTTGATGTTTCAAGGCCTAATCTTTCATACCATACAATATAGGAATTTAGCCTTTGCAGACCTGAACTTAAACAAAATTGTGGAGCTGATACAAAGTTTAACAAGGAGTTTAACCTTCCTGCATATGCTCTTTTACTACTAAATCTGAAGGGAGTGAGCATGACAGACTAGTCTGTAAAAGCCAACTTCATTATAATAAATTAAATCTGGTTTTACTAATTATTAAGACATATTTGCTCCAAGTCTTCATAATCAGACAAAATTTGGGATATCCTATATTTCACTGTAGCTTAGCCTCAGATCTCAACCTTTACTCTAAATATTTTGATTTAAGTATTCAGAGGTCATAAATGAAAAGGTGAACATGAACAGTGGAGTGTGAAATACACTCCCAAATGCAGAACTGAAAAAGCAGTTTCAAAAATCAACACGACTGCTGGAAAGTAGATTGACACGACTTGCAACATGTACCTCCCTAGACTCGGACTTTGATAACCCAGTCAGAGAGAACACAAATTACTTAAGAAACTTGTGCTATTGGAAATATAAACTTGTGCCTAGTTAAAAATTAATCAAAACCTACATCATCCACTGGTCTTAGAAAGACTGAAAACTTGATAGATGTAACTGTCTGAAGGCCAATCTGTGGTACTTCAAGCATCACAAATAAAACAGAAGAAGTGAGCTGAAATAAGTTATGGGCAATTAAAAAAGCCCTTTAAAATAATCAAGCTTTCTGAACACACAACCGTGTGCTGAAGTCATGGTAAAGATGTATGAGTAAGAGTCAGGGGGATCATTTGCAGATGGGGAGGGAGAATCTATTATTGGAAGTCCTTCCATGAAAAGAAGGAAGAATGATGACAGCAGAAAGTCTGTTACACTTACTACAAGGAGAGTTACTATTAAAAAAAAGCAATCACCTTTAAAAACAGAGTCCTATCCAGCAAAAGGACAGACAGTGAGAAATTTAATAGACCATCACCAGAGCTACCAAAGTGACAGTCACAAACATTTCACCAGTTTACCTGTTGATACCACTAGCCTGTGGCAAGAAACTTTGGCTACTGAAATGCTTGAGGCTGTCAGTGCTGCTGTGAAGGCCGTTGCCAAAGGCAATGCAAGGGTCCCTTTTCCTTTCTCTCCCGTTCCTGGCACTAATGTCAAAGAGGTAGAATTCTACCACAGCGCTTCCAGCAATCTACAAGTTTTTGAGTAGCCCACAATTCAATTTTAAAACTAAACAATGTATTAGCTCGCAAGGAAATCCATGCAAACTATACATATTTGACAAGGGTATATAAAGTGAAATACGTGGAAGATTTCTTGACAAATGTTCACTTTTCCTTTCAGTCAGGAAACCAACAAACCTAAGTACTGTATGAATGAACACAAGAGCACTATTTCAATAATACTTAAGTAGTAATATCCATCTCCCAACTATTTGAACTATACAGTTCAAACACACACCACTGTCTGGCTCTCCCTAGCAACCAGCTGCACAGAACATATCTGCACCTCAAATATTATCCCAAATCATCTTTTAACATAAATAACTTCATGGTAAGCTTCAACTCTCTAGTATTTTTAAAGCACCATAGAATATATAGAATTAGTAATAGCATGTATAAATCTAAATACAAAAATAAAAATAAGTTATTTACATTTTTTAGATGCTTTAATTTGTTAGATGCTTCAATCAAAATTTCACTTTTGATGTGAGTGAAAGGTGCTGTGGAGCTCCATTAAGTCTGGTTTTGACTCCAGAACTCTGAAGTTCTCTACATCCATCTTAATCTCTAAATTTATCCTTAATTCCCCTCTACAAAAATATTTTCCTCTATAAGGAAGACATCTCATATTTAAATTTACTGCCACAGCATTAACCAAGCAGTAGCAAACACCTGTATATCCCCGTCTTTGTTTTACTGTGTATTTAATTGATACTGATAAAAATAAGTAATTCCCCTTGCCTTTTTCAATGCAACCCCATGAAGCACTGTCACACTCCCCCTCTTCTTCCTCCGTTCTCTCCCAAAAACGTACCAAATACCCCGAGAAAAAGAACGCACTCCACGTCAGAGAAGTTATGACGGTAGTCTTATTCTATTGTCATTTATAGTCCTGTTAGTTTCAAAATGCCTTATTGTCCTTCCCCTTTAAAAGGAAAGCAGCAGTACCTACTAAGGGACTGTAAGGCATTTTTACAACTTACTGCTCTTGTACACAATTCATGTACACATTCTTGTACACATAAGCGATTGAAGAACTAAATTGTTTACTACTTCATACCAAGACACATGACCAAAAAGACAAACGAAGACATTCTTTGAGACCTCAAAACTCAGCCATACCAAATTCCATAGCAAAACAGTATCCATATGTGTTACAATCTCATTGCTTATGATCTCAGAAGGAACTACCTCATGATCTGCATGGCTCTGGGAATCCCCTTTATTAACGCTTGCATCTCGGGCCCACCGTGGAGGTTTCCAGGTTCGTTCCTGTGATCCTCTGTTGTAGTAATAACAGCGTCCTGTTGTATCTTTATGGGTTTCCCATTCCCCATTTATTTGGAGCGGAGCACTTGTAGGTAGTGGTGGAAGTGCAGACTGAGATATTTTCAGTTCTTGTAAATTAGCATAAACTGGTGAATCAGGCCTCCCTTGGCTTGGTGGAGTAGTTGGCTATTGAAAGAAGAAACGTATTGTTAAAGAGCAAATGAATTTTAGAATGCTCCCTTATAAATCAGAATATATTATAGTAGTAAAACAAACCAACAACCTCCCTTTGTTTTTAAGTACAAAAGCACAAAGGACAGCCACAAGATGCTGGGGCATGAAAACATTAGATTGTTAACTATAAGTTAAATATCACAAGCTATATTTCTTTAATACTGAAACAATTTTTCATCATTTCTCCAGATGACAGCTGATAATTATGTCTTACAGTGGATTTGAAATACACTGGAATCATCATCAAAATAATTATATGCTTGCCTTGTTGAAAAACCGCCAGTGTTACAATTCAAGTATTGCTCAGGAATTGTAAGTAACATGACATTGTTCAGGATAAAACGTAGCATTTGTGAGATGCCACTTGGCAGGCAAAGATGGTTCCCAACCTTTTCCCCTCACTGCTAATACAGGTGATGGTGAATTTAAAGCAGCACTTTTATCTTCTCAGCAAGATCTAAACAGACCACTCAGTTGGAAAGAAAAGCACAATGTTGTGATTAAGAAACTCTGGAAAACACCTGGATGGTTTACCTGTATGCTTTTCCAAACAGATGGTTATTTAAAAATATTTTAGGCAATATCACTGAGTGTTCTGATTACCACTCTCTTCTTATAGAAATTAAGTGGGTGTTCTTATTTACCTAATTTTATTCATAGACATGCACACAAGTAGAACAACATATATCTACAAGAAAACAAAACACTAATTACAATTTCTCATTAATAAATAGTTTGCCAACATGAAAGCCAGCAGAAAGTAGGGTTAAAAGACCATGGCATTCACCGAAACCACGAGTACTTTCAAATAAGCCACTAAAGTATTTACGAGAGAAATATACTTTCAGACGTTCAATTTTTAAAGTATAATACAACTACATAAAACACACCATGCAGAATATAAGAGCATGTGTTTTCATGAGAGTTGTGATTATCAGATTGTGAAAGCAGCTTATTATTAAACCAAACTGAATAGTTTCCCGGTAATGCACTGCCAACTCTGTATTTCAGGCACTCTAAAGGAAGGAACTATATGAATTTACACTATCCCTTCCCCCTCCTTGGTTTTAATTCAGAAGCTCTGCTGGAGGCAAGTCCTTGTGCCTTTTTGTAGCATCTTTCACAGGAAAAAATAACATACTGTATTACATAAAAGATCTTTTATACTGTACTTTTAAACATTAAAATCATAAACTGCTAATCTAGGCCACATCTAATAATAAATTATCAGGGTTTGCTCAGGCAAGACAGCATATCGTACCACACAATCAGATATAAACTGATTGCTCCATAGCTAAAACCAAATATGGGCAACATCCACAACCAAAAGGGGAAACAGCTAGAGAGGAACTGAATGAGATTAAAACAGGCGCGGACTTGTTTTGTGGGCCTTTCAAAGAGAAAACACAGCTTACTAGATATAGCAAGTACAGTATGCTTAGGGGGGAAAAATAATAAAAAAAATGCAGCACTGGCAAACTCAGAGAACCAAAACCAATTAGTATCCTCCTCTACTTATTTCAAAGGGGGGAAAAAAAAAAATCTGTTGCAAAGCCTGATGAACAGTAAAAAACAATGTTTTTACCATCTAAGTATATCCTTCCCCCCACCCCTTTTTTATTTGAGGGGAGTAGAATGGCAGCCTTTGGTAAAGCTGGTCTTGAGAGCACTAACAGGATAAAGAACGTGACCATGAACAAAGCATCACCCCATTGTCTTCAGGGATGAAGCTCAGTTCCCTGGGCTGCTGGGAGAGTAACCTTGATCAGTCCCCAGGCGCTGCTCAGACTCTCCCAGGTCTCCTCATTCAAGAGCCCAGTTTCTGCATTTGTTTCCCAATCAGCCTGCAGAGCTGCATTTCCCACACAAATCATCCTGCCATTAACTCATCCGGCTTGTCATTTGAAGCAACAACATACACCTGCACCAGGGGACACACAAATCTTCAGGTTCTTCCCCTATTTCAAGGAAGTGGCAAAATCAGCACCATCGAGCTCCTGGGCAGCTGCGGCCGGAGGCCAGTGGCTTGCACAACACTTGTGTCCTCCTAAAATTGCTCCTCCACACAAGACTAAGAAGGCTTTGCTGTCTGGCCTGCATTTGCCAGTCACTTTTTTGTTTTAATTAAGACAATGAGATGCCATTATTAAAAGAACGTTTCTGTGTATGAATAAAAGTGTTTTCCAAATATCAAGCCTATGACAGAATGCTTGATACAGTTTTTGGAACATTTCCTCAAGCAACGCATAGGAATATAGCTCAGAGGTTTCACACTGAGGTTTTCAACAGCTTCAGCCTTATAGCCAGAACAACTCCAGATGAAACTGCAGGACATGTACTGTGCTAAGCCAACACTTGAAGCTCAGGGCCAACAGACTGCCACATAACTCAGGCAGCATACTAGTTAAGTTTGAAACAGTAACATGATATGAAAGCGTAATGAGGGGTTTTCTTCTCAAAGCTCAGTACTTCCAAACTCAATATACCAATTTCTGGTTTTCAAGGGAGAGCCAAAATTTCGTCCTGAACAACAAACCAGACAGCTAACTGTCCTGCCAACTAAGCCTCTAGCCACTTTCATTCCTTGTTGCTCTCTCTTCTGACAGATTTTACAGGGAGAATTATAAAGTTTTTGAAAGGCATCTTTAAGTTACTGCTTTCAGCGAAACATAAAAAAATGTAATCTAACTACAAGGCACAGCTTAGCTCGTAAGTCAGTCTTTGAAGGATACAACTTTCTTATCAGGAACTATTTTAAATAACCACGCAGCATAAAACAGTACTTCCTCATACCTCGAGCCACACAACAAGGTATGTTGTTGTGTCTACAATAATGCTCAGTTCAACAGCATGCAACCTTATCAAGGCTAATTTTGTGAATAATTTCTAATTTCTTGATGAGAAAAAATAGCTTTTAGAAAGCTCAAAGTTTCATTAAATTAACTTTAGTGTAGTTTCTACTTGAGTGTTGACAGGAAGGTAAATCCCCCAGCATGGGAAGGAGGGTCCTGGTGAGAGGCAGGTCCCACCAGATGTCCCTGTAGAGCTCCTGGGCCCTACACCACCTCACCCTTTCATCTCATATGACTGTTTTAAGTTCAAGACTGTGTTCTGCAAAACCCTTGAATAGTTTCAAGCCAAGAAGCATATTAATTTTACTGTATTCCTTTCATTTACCAAAACCATTATTCATTAGTAACGTATAAATCCAGATAAAGCATTACCTAGATCAAAATAATTTCTGATCACTTTCATGGCTGTTTTCCTAAAACCAGACACACACAGTTAAGGGAAACTTTAAAATATATGCTAAACACTAAACAGCTCTGAGGACTTCTGGGTAGAACTTCACTCACTGAGCTTCATTTTTGCACTAACAAGCTCCAAATGCTCATAAACATGGAATTAAATCTACCAAAAGAGACTCCTTGTTTTCTCACTGTCAGAATCACAAGAACATGTCCTTCAACATGCCCATGCACGCACACACAAAATGCCTTACACTCAAAACATCTCAGCATTCATTTGCTGTTTGATACGGATTTCAGACTTTTTCATGTTGCTTTCTCCTGCTAAGAACAGTGAAGAACTCTTACTAGAAACATGATAAAAAAAATTGGAAAGCAGAAATACTTCTATGATGCTACAACCTGAATGAAAACTGTACAACATTAAGCACTATGGCAACTTCGTTAATATAAGGACCTCTCCCTGAGCTCTATAATGCTCTGTATTTTAATATTTTAGAAATCTGCCATATTTAAGTTCAGTCTCACAGAAAAGTCTGCTAGCAGCAAATCCCTGCACATTGAGTTTCATGCAGGCAGGACAAAGTCAGGACAAAGCTTCCAGGATCAACACAAAACGTTCTTCAAATAGGGACTGTACACAGCTTTTTTCAGAACATAGGTTTTCTACTGACACAGTAGGAAGCAGATACGTGCCTTTAAATAAAACAACCTGTTAATCATTCACAAATGAACAGTCAACGTCTTCAACAAAGGCCGCAGATACGCTATCAGGCCTCTGAACACTTGAACTCAGTGCAATGAAAAGCAAACTTAGTATACTCATAAGGTACTTTTCATTACCAAAATGTATATCAGCTTCTCAGAGGATACCCTAAATTTCAATGTTACCTTGTACAAATGGCTTTTTTCGGATGGCAGTATTTGTTTAAGTGTTCAAAATTAAAGCTTTTTTTTTAAAAAAAAAAAAAAAAAAAGGTTCAGTGCATTTCAACAAGGTGAGACTGCAGTTCTGGGATAAACAAGGACTACAGATCTCTCCCCTGTGCCCCACCTAAAAATGCTTTTTGTTTATTTTCATGCAGTGAGAACATACTGCATCGAGGATGCCAGCAATTCAGACAGAAAACAAAGTTTCCTTGTAATTAGCAATCACCTTTTTTCCCCTTTACAGCACTTAAATGCAAGGCAAAAACTTCAATAACGTAACAATTGCTTAAAGAACAACCACAAAACATGACCCAGTACACGTGATTTTTCCCTCCTTTACAAATAAACTGCTTTAGTTATCATGCCTCTGTAGCTTTTCTTAGTGTTAAGAACTTGGAACTAAAAGCTTCCATTTCACCAAGTAGCAGCATTCGGATTGCAGAAACTAGCTGCTAAAAATGAAAAATATTTTTGGAAAAAAAAGCAGATCTCATCTTAATAATCTTTGTGAAGTTACAAGCAACAGATTGTCCATACTCATGCAAAAGAAGAGCATTACACTGAAGGAAAACGAAGGAATACCGGCTCCTTGGAGCAGCAAGCCAAAGAAAGGAGAACAGGCACATCCCACAGGATCCTGAGACAGGGAACGAAGCATCCCAGTTCCCTCAACAACTGAGCTTCTTGCCAAGGAATTGTCATCATCCTTTTCCGAAGGCCTGGGACTTCAATATCAGCTTTATTCAACAGGAATGATATAAAAGAAATCTCAAA